GAAAACTCTGTAATGAAAGACAACGTCATAGCAAAACTATATTTGAAGATATAATTAAATATTGTTACTAGACACTAATTAAAGTCATAACTTGAGTAATAAAGTCGTCTTCCTAGTTTTCTGGTTATCATTTTAATATCATCACATTAAATTGCTCACCTCCTCTTCAAATATGGTGGTCTTATGCTTAATACCTTCCTCAAACCCCTTCATTGTCATTGTGATCCTGGGAAGGTTCTAAAGCTTCCAGCCGTACTTTCACTTCATGACACTGTTGATGTAGTAGTAGTGTCTCCAAATTGATGACGTTGCTATTTTTTTCTCAAGTCTTAGATGTTTAAAATAGATAATAATAGCCTCCTCTTCAGGGTGTCAGTCCTCGAATTCAAAATCGATATTGAAGTTTTTAAAATCCTTCCAGGACTTAACATAGGCCTTTCTGCTCTTGTCCTTAATCTGGGCGAAGACTTCATCATCGGCGTAGATCTTCTTTCTCTCCTCCATCATTACACTTATATGAACGTCTTCTCAGCTCAGGGGCTCATTGAAGAATGAGTTTGAAATCAGATTTGCGCATTTTCTTGGCTTTTGTGAATTTTGCGTTATCAAAAAACAATTTATATCATGAAAATAATTTTAAAATTTAAAATTTATTCTTAACACATCCCAAACAGATGGTATGTGATCGCAATGTGACATAAAATTACCAATGTACTTCTGATTTAATATTTTGGAAATTTCTCAAATGATTGGATATTTGGGGAATTTCCAAAAAACCCAGGCATTTGGGAAATTTTTCAGATACCCAGACATTTGGGAAATTTCCCAGATACCCAGGCATTTGGGAAATTCCCCAAATTCCTATAGGTATTTGAGAGTGGTATATTTTTCAGATTTTGGAAATTTTTCAAATGCCAGGGTACCTGAGAAATTTCACAGATACCTAGGCATTTGGGAAGTTTCCCAGATACCCAGGCATTTGAAAAATTTCCCAGATACCTAGGCATTTGGGAAATTTCCCAGATACCCAGGCATTTGGGAAATTTCCCAGATACCCAGGCATTTGGGAAATTTCCCAGATACCCAGGCATTTGAGAAATTTTCCAGATACCTAGGCATTTGGGAAGTTTCCCAGATACACAGGCATTTGGGAAATTTCCCAGATACCCAGGCATTTGGGAAATTCCCCAAATTCCTATAGGTATTTGAGGGTGGTATATTTTAAGAGTATGGAAATTTCTCAAATGCCTGGGTACTTGAGAAATTTCACAGATACCCAGGCATTTTACATGGCATGGGTATGGTACATTTTTAAGGTTTTGGAAATTACTCAAATGCCAGGGTATTTGAGAAATTTAACAGATACCCAGTCATTCAGGAAATTTCCCAGATACCCAGGCATTTGGGAAATT